TAGACCCTGCCTTGAGCTTCAGGCAGCCAGATGGTTGCCTGCCAGTCTCCTCCACCTTGTGTAACCAAAGTCCCAGTGACTGGCTCTTTGATCCTCTGCCTGCAGCCTTGGCCCACCATGTCCCTGTACTAAACCCTTATCACAGGAGGAGGAAGAAGAGGAAGAATAGGAGAAGGAAGAAGGAGAGGAGGAGGGGGAAGAAAAAGAGGGAAGGAGAAAGAGAGAAAAAGAGAAAGGGAGAGAGGCAGAGGAGAGCAAAGGAGCAAGAGTAAGAGAGGCAGATGAAGTGGAGAACAGATCAAAAGGATCCCATCTAGCAATGGACCTGGTTTGGTCCCTGATTCTCACACACAGGATTCTAAAAACGAAACAACCCTAGACACTGCCTGATACAATGGTTTAGGTACTAATATTCATTATTTCTAGGAATGATACAGCTATGGTGGGCTTTCCAGAGTGGCTTATTGCTGAGTGTGTGCTGAGAAGGTCACAGATCAGCTTAGGGGACATCTAGAAGTTCAGTGCGTGGAAAGTACCATTGCCTCCTTCTCATAGGAACCCTTGTCACAGAAACCCATGGGGCCCACCTAACGAGCCGAAGTAATGTCCCTGTCACAAGACCCCTAACCTCATCCCATCTGTAGAGTCCCTTTGGCCATGTGTAAGGTCACATGATCTCAGGATCTGTGGATTTAGGTGGCCATTACTCAGCCCACTTTCCCCCTCTTCTCCTCTACCACAAAAGTTTCTGTGAGTGCACCTGTTCCTTTTCCTCAGTGCACTGACCCCAGGTTGGAATTCTTGTTTTCATTGGCTTTCTGTTTATCACCTATTCTCACTCTCCACGTTGGGTTCCTCCACGATTCTTTCCCAAGAACAAATACTGTTGGGGTTCAGTTAATATGAATGAATATAAGAATGACTAGATAGGTGGATAGGTGAGTGGATGGATGGATGGATGGGTGGAAGCCTGGGTAAATGGATGAGTAGATAGATGGGTACATGAATGGGCAAATGAGTGTAAGGATGAGTATAGGTGTATGGATGGATGGAGGGAGGGAGGAAGGGATGGATGGATGGATGGATGGATGCGTTGCATAAGTGTGTGTATAGATTGGTAGATGGCTGGGTGGATGGATAGATGAATTGATAGATGGATAGGGAGAGGTGAATGGGTGTGTGGATGGATAGGTGGGTGGATGGATGAATGGAACAGAAAAAAGAATGGTGGATGGATGGATGTGGGTGTGGTGGATAGATGGATAGATGTATGAATATTTGGGTGGATGATATATGGATGTGGTGGTTGAATAGATGTGTGGATAGATGGATAGATGGTAGATGGGTGGGTGGAAGAATGAATGGATGGCTGGGGGAATAGGTAAATGGATGTGTGAATGGATGGGTAAGTGGAAGGAAGGATGGGTGGATGGATTTATGTAGGGGTGAATGGGTTATGATGGATGGATGGATATGTGGGGTATGGGGGTGGATGGTATGTGGATGGATGGATGGATATGTGTGGGTGAATAAGAGAGTGGATGGATTGGTAGAAGGTTGGATGGGAGGGTTTATGAATGGATGGATGGATGGGGGTGAACGGATGTGCGGATGGATGAGTGGGGTAGACGGAGGGAAGGAAGATGGATAGATGAACAGACAGAGAAATGAAGAAGCGTGGGGCTGGCAGAGTGGCTCATGTGGTAGCGCCTGCCTCGCAATTGTGAAGCCCTGAGTCCAACCCCCACTGCCACAGGAAAAAAAAGTATTGTGTGAGAAATACAGAAAAATGTCAATAAAAAAGAAAAACACCTCCCCAAAAGAGCAATTAACATGTGGATGAATGGTCTCCCCCACACAGGGTAGAAGGGAAGGTAAGCTTCTTCTGAGATTCCCAAGGTTCACCTTCCACACGAGTGGCCAGAGGAGAACGGGAGGGAGTCCCACTCAGCCTTCATCATGAGGAAAGCCAGATAGACCTGGGAGAGACCTTTTTAGCTTAGGACTTGACACCAAAGAGCCTTGGGGAAGTCAGCCTGGAACAAGCATATCAGGTATGTGATTTTCTTACCTGTGGGATTTCATTAGCTCTTTAAGGAATTATGGATGACACGGCATTACAGAGCAAGCCCATCACCACAAAAAGAGATGCAGCACTGATATTTGCCCTACCCCAACACTGACACACTCGCAAGGAGGCCATTCATGTCACCACGTCCCCTAAGGCCCAATTCCTTCCTATCTGAGGTCTACTATCACAGACCTCAGATTCCCTTTCATTCTTACCTGCCTCCTCAGCCGCTTGGCCTCAGCTCCCCACAGGCAGGAGCCTAAGACCTGGGATGGCTCAAGTGGCAGACTTCTTGCCTAGTAAACCCAAGGTCCTGAGTTCAAACCCCAGTACTGCCAAATAAACAAAAAACTTTCTTCCCATAGGCAGGAGCCTTGCCTATCTTGTTCATGGGCACAGAGCCCAGTGCCTGGAGCCCAGCAGGTGTCCAAGAAAAGTCTGCTATGTGTGAGAGAAAGGTCACCATGAAGCACTTGGTTGCATTGCTGGCTGCCGAAGGGCTGGGTATGGACCAGCAGGCAACCATAAGCTAGCCATAGAAGGACCTGGCAAAAACAGCTTGGCCCAGAACCGGCCTCTTGTCTCTGGGGACCAGGGGAGAAGTGTCCAGGCCTACACCTTTGGGAGGCAGGTTGGTAGGGTTGTAGAGAGTTCAGTTTATTTGTGAAGCCCTTGGCAAGGGACTATTAAAAAATAAAGTCCCTTTCTACTGGGAGGGGCAGGCAAAGGGACCAGATGGTAGGATGATGGCTGCTTATAGAGAGGAGACAGACTATGACGGTCAGAAGAATGAGGACCATGTCTCAGTCACATCAGCCAGCCCCTCCCTGGTCACCTCACAACTGAGCCCTGAGCCCTGGTGAGTGAGTGAGCAATGAGTGACACCAATCACACCGTGTTTGTGAGGTGCACAAGGAGTTGTTCTTCCTATTATCCAACCCCTTTATCACTGTCACCCCCCCAAGCAAACTAAGGCCCAAAGTCAACTGCCCAGGGTCACCCTTGATTGGAGGCAGCCAGGGACCCCCACAAGGTGGCCGGGCTTCTCTCTACTGTCCCTCTGAGAGCCGGGCATCTAGCCTCTCCCCAGTCCGCCCTCCCAACCCCAGCCCACATGGAGATATGGGGTGGCTGCTGTGAACTCCATGTCACCCCAAAACTCATTTGCTGAAATCCTCACCCCCCTCCCAAGTTGATGGTGTTAGGAGGGGACCTTTTGGAAGTGATTAGGTCATGAGGTCCCTCCTGAATGGGATGATGTCCTTATAAAAGGAACCCAGAGAGGTCCCTGTCTCTTCCACCATGTGAGGACACAGCCGGAGGGGCATCTGTAACCAGAATCAGGTTGGCCCCAGACACCAAGTCCACAGGTACCTTGAGTTTGGCCTTCCTGCTCCAGTACTGGGGGAGTAAGTTCCTGCTGTCCATCAGCCCCCACCCAACAGCCCAAAGATGAGGGATGGGGACAGAGGCAGTAGGACTCCACAGGCTCAGGCCAAGGCCAAGGTCCCACTTACACGTACCTCTCTCTTGTTTTGAAAGAAACAAATTTCCATCCCAAATAAGGCGGTGGACTCCAGAGCCTCTGCCCACTTCACACAATTCCTTTTAAGTGTCCAAACGTAATTATACTTGGAGTGCGCATGAATCCAGCCTCCCCCAGCCTCCCCATGTAAACAAGCGCCCAGCTGGGCCCCAGCTGGCTGCCCTGGGGAGGCAACGGGTCACCACCCTGCCTGCCTGCAGCCAGCCCAGCCTTTCTCTTGGCCTCAGCCATGGTGGTTGTGAGCCTCCAGCATCCCACAGTCCCCTTCCCACATAAGACCCCGGGAAGCTTGCTGCCTCCTGCTCTCAGGTTTGCCCAGCACAGGGACAGTGGGTGCCTCCACAGGCAGGAGGCAGAGGCTCCAGGGCAGGTGCAGAAGAGCTCTATACTGGGGCTCTGCAAAATACCCAGGAGGCACACCTCCCCCAATCCAGGCACCATTTGTTCCCTCGGGGAAAGCACGGAATTCCCTTGGGCTTCCAGGGCCATGGGAAAGTTGGCCCAGGGCAGGAGGGGCCTTTCCAGCACCCCACCCTCGTGGCCACCCCTCTGGCCCCTGAACCCTCTCCCCACAACCCAACCCCTCCACCCAGGCTTGGGCTCCGTGCCCCGGCCACTAACGCATTCCAGGACCCCTTCGCTGGGACAGGCTGACTCATCCAATCCGGACTGCGCGCACACAGGCACCGCGGCCCGCCAACTTCCCTGCTCAGCCCAGGCACGCTGTGATTTTCCACTTGCACCATCTGAATGCTATTAGGGCTGGGGAAAAGGGAATTCCTGGTTCCATAAGCCACAGGGGGCCCCAGGCAGATTCCGGGGTGGGAAGGGGTAGTGGGTACCATGTGGGCGATACTGCCTTCTTGCTGCCAATTCTGCACCACTCTTGGTGGGGCCCTCACCTGGGGCTTCCAGCTTCTCTGTGTCAACCCCTAGGTCACTTGAAACAATGGTGTGCCCCCCCCGCCCCCGCCGCCGCCTCGCCTGCATGCTCCAAAATGCCCACTGGGAGCAGATGGAAGGCTCGGAAGGCTCTAGCCTAGTGGAAGGCCGGAGCTCCCTCCGTGGTGCCGGCAGCCTTGCAGAAACACAGGATAGAAGGGAGATTAGCAGCTGGACTCTGGCCACAGTGCTCGGGCCAGCCTGACGTCACCAGGCAGAGAGATGAGTTCCCAGTGGGGTTCTGGGGGGGCTCTGGAGCGGGGCATTCCTTCCTGAAGCCTCATCGCTGCTCAGCCCCTCCTCTCCTCTCCTCCTCCCCTCCCCTCCCCCTCCTGCCGGCCTGGAATTGGGTTTGGGGCGGGTTCTGCTTCCAAAGCCATCTCCTCCGAAGGCCAGGGAGGCGGCTCATCCTCCACCCTGAAGCTGCATTTTCCGAGGCTCTGGGCAGTGGGTTGGTCGGCTGGGAGTTCCAGGAGGAACCCTTCACAAAGGCAAGGCCTCTGCAGACCAGGACAGCTGCAGGTAGCACCCTGGGGCCCCAGGATCAGGGGGAGGGGGTCCAGGAACAGGCATACAAGGTGAAGGCCAGGCAGGCAGGGACGTGAACACTGTCAGCACAGGCAGCTCTCTGAAGTCCCTCCTCTCCAAGTAGGGAGCCCTGAGACCCCCGAGTGGGGCTGTCACCCACCAGAGGACCTCTTCCACCACTCCCAAGGCTCTGAAGTCTTTAAGAGGGTCCCTCCTGTGTGGCAGGCCCTGACCTCCCCCCCCCACCGCCAAGCTAGCCTTACCCCCAAGCCCCAAGCTGTCCTGCACTGCCAGCTCCTGCTCTGTCCTCTTGTGGGTGGGAGCTTCCCTGTCCTTCCCCCAACTTTGCTGTCCACACTTGCTTTCTGGAAGCACTGGGAGGGAGCACCCAGCGGGCAGTGTCCCAAGCATGGGGAGATGGCTCCCAGGGCTCTCATGTATGCTGACTTCTACAAGGGCTGAGACACTCTGGACAGCTGTGGGGCCAGCCCTGGGGTGGACACTTTGGGGTCAGCCACAGGAGGTTGGGCAGCTCTGGTTCCACCTTCTCCCAGCTAGTGGTGCCTGGTGCTGTGCTAGCCTCCCATAAGGTCCTTTCTGAGCGTCCTGCCGGTCTCCATTCCCCCAGATAATCTGTTCCATGGAGTTGGGAAAACACAGGCTTCCTGGAGCTCTGGGGCTCCATCCAGACCACAGCAAGGGATGAAGAGAGGGGTTGGGTTACAGGAGGATGGACATAAAAGAGGCGGGGAGTTTCCTGAGGACTAGTGAGGAGGCAGACAGGTGGCCAGGCCATCCTGTTAGGAGGGGAGGGGCACAGGGGACACATGGGGCAGAGCTGGCAACCTTCACACTCAGTTTTAGTGGAAGCTGATTCTGTCATGGCCTAGATCCCAGCCAGAGAAGCACACACACTCACACGCATCCCGTACACGCCACACACGTGTCTTTAATATGGCCCATCTGGGGTCCACTTGGCTTCTACATCTCTCTGTGCAGGAGTGAAATCACTTCTCAGATCGTCCCTGTAGAAGAGACAGATCAAATTGATCACAGAGGTGAGCAGAAAACCCCTACTGCATGCCCACCTACAGAGTGCGCAGGCCAGCCTCCTGCCCTAGGGGTGTCTGCCTAGTTGGGGTCCAGCATGGCAGGATGAAAGGGTAAGGCTGTCCTGAGTAGGACATCCCTGGGGGGCACAGCTTGGGGTGGTGGAAGAGTGGGAACAACGGAGGGGACTGGGAGGCACTTACCCGGGGCCAAGTAGGTGGGGTGCAGGCACTGGGAAAGCTTGGGCAACCTCCAGCGCGTTGGAAGCACGCGGGCCTGGCCCTGGTTAAGGGGACAGTAGCTCGAGGTAATGCGTTGGGGGTGGCAGGGAGATAAAGACGCACACTTCATGGCACCAGCCATCTGCAAGCTCACTGCGCATGCATGCTTCACTCACTCTCGCACGGGGTTTTCCCTCCCAGGCACCCGCAATGACACTCGCAAGCCGGGCACACGCGGACACACGCACACCCGCGGACGCCCCGAGAGCGCAGGGTCGCGCCCTCCAGCCTCGCACAACTGGGGACCCCGAGGCCCAGGGTGGGAGGCTGACCGGGAGCATGGTGGTAGGCGCTGCAGTCCCCACCTCCACCCCTGTGACCCCACTGGGCTCCTCCAGCTGCGAGAGGCCTGGGGTTAATCAGGGGGCGGGCCGCCCGCGCGGACGGACACCCTTTGCAGCCAATGATGGGCTCAGCCGCCTCGGCCCCCGCCCCCTGGAGGGAGGGGCGAAGGGTGGGTGAGCGTGGCGGCGGCTGCCTGGCGGCGCGAGGAAGGAATTTCTGGGGAGTGATGGGAGCTTGGGCTCCCCCTGGGTAGAGGGACGGGTCTGGCAGCCTGCCCCCGCAAGACCCTTTTCTGCTCACAACCTCAAATTCCCCACTTGCTCAGTGGGGAGAGACAGGGATCAATTTCAAGAGAACCAGGGTGGGACAATCAGCTGTGGGCAGCCAGGGTGGCCCCCTCCCCAGCCTGTCAACCCTTCTAGACCTCTGGATTAGCAGCCCTAGGTGGGAGTCCAGCTTCCCCTTCCCCAGCCTGCAGCCGGGGCCACCACAGCGGCCTCCTGGCTTGTTCCCTCCAACATGCATCACTGCGTCTTGACAGGCACATTTGCAGTGCTGTGTTGGTGCCTTGGTTATGAGTGTGCCTCATAACCGGCCTGGGTGCACCTCTCCCAGGGCTAGGATGAGGACCACGCTGATGCTGGGAATGGTGGTTGTGACAATGACACCCAGGACTGGGCTGGGCCATCTGCTGTCTAGGAACCTGCAGGGAAACACCAGATGCCTTAGCCTGTCATTAACACAAGGCCCAGCCCAAGGCCTCCTCCTCCAAGAAGTCCTTCTGCCAGAAATGGTCTGCCCTCCACCTGCCCCTTCTGACTGATTGCTGGGGACCCTCTATCCAAACACAAAGGAGATGCTCGGGACACGGCATATCCTGCAGACCAGTGAGAAAAGGGAGGAGAGGGCTTCTTCCCCACTGAGCAACCGTGGGGCTCCAGGGAGTCATCAAGCATCTGAATGTGGGGCCCTCAGGCAGGAGGGGCTGTGCTGCAGGGTGACCACCAGGACAGTCCACAGAGCTCCTGCCTCTCAGAGAGCCAGGTGGCCTTTCCTCTAAGCTGAGGGCCTCAGGCCCAGAAAGCCCTGCGGACAGGGGTCTGGGAGGGGGGCAGGGCTTTGAAGGGGGTGCCCTCATTCCACCATCTCTCTGGGGTTTTGCCAGGTAGGTGTGCAGACCAGTGAGCTGTGACCAGGAGTTGAAGATGGCCGGAAACTGCTCTTGGGAAGCCCATCCTGCCAACAGGAACAAGGCAAGTGCCACCAGGCAAAGAGGACCTGGACTGCCAGAGGGCATGGGTGAGAGGGGAGGCCCAGCCCAGTCCAGCATCTGCTCTCCACACTCTGCCTCCCAGGCCCACCCTCCATCTCTGGGCTGCAGTTGACAGCAGTCCCATCTGAGCCATGTGGCCTGTCCCTAGTTAGCTGGTCCTCATATCCCAGTGTCCTCATCAGTGAAGTAAAACATAGGCACTGGACACCCTGAAAGTCCCTTCCAACGGTCTCCCTGGATCACCCTCTCCCTGCAGAGATAGGGCAACCAGGTATTTACCATGGCCAGCCCTTCCAGGAAGCCCTCAGATGCTGGCTCCAAGGTGGCCCTGGTGTCATATGCTCCATGGAGCCATGGAGTTGTGGGCAGTCCAGGGTACATTAGCCCTGGACCTACTTCACTGGCAGGCACCAGCCCTGCCTGAGGCTTGGACTGTCCCGTCACCTCCTGCTCTCCTCAGTCATTTACTTCTGAGCCCCTTGAAAAGCCTGGGATTTCCTTCCAAATTCTGAGCAGAACACTCTCAAGTTGGAAGGCTCCCTCTGACCCACTCTGATCTCTTCTACGCTTGAGGAAACTGAGGCTTACACCAGGGTAGTTACTGACTGCTGCCCGGCCCTCCACACACCCTCCGGCCCCATGCTCTTGGTCCTTTCCCTCCCTCCCATAGGGCCCACTGTGGAATGATGGCAGCCTGGGAGACAGAGATCGCTATACTAGGTCGGGGGGCGGTGGGTGGCATCTCCAAAATGGAGATAGCATCTAGGGAGGGGCCAGGCTCCAGAGCGGGGGTTTTACAAGGCAGTATGTGGCTGGGAATGGCAGCTCCCGCCCAGTGACTCACCCGGCCTCCCCCTTGCCCTCCAGGAGGGGATTGCAGACTTTTTCCAGCCTGGGAGAGGCCCTCCCTCTGTCCATCCCCCACAGGCCAGTTCCCTCCTAGTGGCTGAGCTAGTACTCCCAAACAGGGTCTACAGATTCGTGGGTCTATCTCCACTGAGGGGAACGAGCCAGGCCTGGAGCAGTTGGTCACTCCCAGGAAACGGAAGCAGGGAGCCAGCTAAGCAGTGGGTTTGGGGATGGACGGAGGTGCAAAGGTGTTGAGCTGATGAATGTTGGAGGATGATAGGCAGTGAGCAAGACCCCATAAAGAGCTTCCCCAAGTTTAGCCGGCACCTCCAATTCCTGTTTGCTGATTGACCTTGGTCTGAACGAGGCCAGAAGATCCTTCCCTTTGTTAGGGTGTGTCAAGACAAAGAGCCATTGTTCAGGACCCAGCTTTCTACCAGAGCCATCTGGAAGGTGGCAGGAAGGATCCTGTCACCGGGATCCTTTCTGGAGACCCCTAAGCCGTGGGAGTAGATACAGGCCTTAAGGAGAGAGAAACTGGGGTGGATTAGTGACGTCTCCTGGGATGTGGGAAGGGGAGCAATTGCTCAGAATGGCCTTTGCCATTGGGAATGAGAGGTCAAAAACAATCCTGAGAGCCAGGCCGGTGTCTCACACGTGTAATCTCAGCTACTCAGGAGGATCAAGGTTCAAGGTCAGCCCAGGCAGAAAAGTTAGCAAAGCTCCATTTCAGTCATTAAGTTGGGGATGGTGACCACTTGTGGTCCCAAATACACCGAAGACCACAGGTAGGATTGTGATCTGAGCTGGTCTGGGCAGAAATACAAAACCTTACCTTCAAATCCAGTACTGCCAAAAACAAAAACAAAAGCCCCTTGAACAGCCTGGCTTGTGGATGTGATGTGTTTGGCCCACGGTGTTTTTTTAAGTGTTTTTCAGTCCAGAGTTCTGGTTTCTCTAGAGACTGGGGAGATACTCCAACACTGGCGCCCACCAGTTGGGGCAAAAATAGGATGCCTACCTTGTTCAGGGTGGTGCCCTTGGGTTTGCCACTGTGCCACCACCTGCAAATTTGGGGCAGATGGCATTTACATGCTGGCTCGACCCCTGTGGACAGAGCTGGTATTTAGCTGGATAGCACTCTCCTAGCTAGACCAGTTATAAAATATTGAAATGCTCCCTGTGGCTTGATGAATTGCCACTGCCCCCAGCCTCTCCCCGCCCCAGGGACCCCAAACTTTCCCACAGTCTAGAACCTCTTGAGGCAGCCCCGGCCCAGCAGACAGCAAAAGCCTCTGATCCCCAGTTTTCTCTGGTCCCTCTGTGGGACAGGGTCCTGCCATTCTTTTCAAAAAATCTTTTACAAATGATTTTATTTCTTTAGAAATACACATCCTCATGTCCTAGTTTTGAAATATTGCAAGAATAGGGCGCTGAAATTTCCACACTTCCTTCACCTCATCCGTTCACTCATTGCTAACTGCCACCCCCCCACCCCCGCCCCCAGCATGGACTTTTTATCTAGGCACTTTTTCTATTAGTGGGACTGGAGTTTGAACTCAGGGCTTCGTGCTTGCAAAGCAGGTGCTCTACTGCTTGAGCCACACCTCCAGTCCATTTTACTCTGGTTTTTTTGGAGATGGGATCTTACAAACTATTTGGCTAGGCTGGCCTCGAAACTCAGTCCTCCCGATCTCAGCCTCCCAAATAGCTAGGCTTACAGGGATGAGCTCCTCGCACCCTGCTCCATGCACCTTTTGATAAATGGACACCACCCCCAGAATCAGTTGAAAATAAATTGCAGACATGAATCCCTTTACCTCCAAATAGCCTGTGTGTTCTGCAGACAAGGACATTCCCGTGCACGGCCATGGGAACAGCGTGTGCACGCCACCATCATGTGTGCACAGCCCGTGCTCAGGCGCCCCTTGTTCCACAGTACCCCTGGCAGCTGCTGTCTGGGTTCAGTGTATAACCTAGGATTGCAGTGCTGTGTTTATTGTCATGGCTTTGGTCTGCTTTATCTGGAAAAGCTGCTCTGTTTTTCCTTATTTTGCATGACGTGGACATTTTTGCACCATTCTGACTTGTGGCAGAGCACTTATGTGACAACTGTTGGGTCTGTGCTCCAAGCTCTGGATTCTGGGAAAGCGTGTGAAGGTCAAGTGGGCTCAGGCTGGTCTCTGCTCTGGCTGCAGCCAGTTAACTGACAGCCAGTGACCCTCTAAACCTCAGTCTACTGAGTAGAAACCCAAGTATCTACTAGGGACCACCAGGCTGGGCCACACACCAATGTGGGTCTGCTGGGGCGGGGAGGGGCATCGAGCATGACAGGTGTCTCCCTCCACCCCTGTGCAGGTGTGTCCCGCCATGAGCGAGGCCCCGGAGCTGTACAGCCGAGGCTTCCTGACCATCCAACAGATTGACATCCTGCCACCCCCCGCTGTCATGAACTACATCTTCCTGCTGCTCTGCCTGTGTGGCCTCGTGGGCAATGGGCTGGTCCTCTGGTTTTTCGGCTTCTCCATCAAGAGGACCCCCTTCTCCATCTACTTCCTGCACCTGGCCAGCGCAGATGGCACCTACCTCTTCAGCAAGGCCGTGTTCTCCCTCCTGAACACCGGGGGCTTCCTGGGCACCTTTGCTGACTACATCCGCAGTTTGTCCAGGATCCTGGGGCTCTGCACGTTCGTCGCCAGTGTGAGCCTCCTGCCGGCCATCAGCACCGAGCGCTGTGTGTCTGTCATCTTTCCTGTCTGGTACTGGCGCCGGCGACCCAAGCGCCTGTCGGCTGTGGTGTGCGCCCTGCTCTGGCTGCTCTCCCTTCTGGTCACTGGCACTCACAATTACTTCTGTGTGTTCCTGGGCCGTGAGGCATCCAGGGCGTCCTGCCGGCCCATGGACATCTTCCTGGGCGTCCTGCTCTTCCTCCTCTTCTGCCCGCTCATGGTGCTTCCCTGCCTGGCACTTATCTTGCATGTGGAGTGCAGGGCACCGCGGCGCCAGCGGTCTGCCAAGCTTAACCATGTCGTCCTGGCCATGGTCTCCATCTTCCTCGTGTCCTCCATCTACTTGGGGATCGACTGGTTCCTCTTCTGGGTCTTCCAGATCCCAGCCCCCTTCCCCGAGTATGTCACCGACCTGTGCATCTGTATCAATAGCAGCGCCAAGCCCATCGTCTACTTCCTGGCTGGGAGGGACAAGTCCCAGCGCCTGTGGGAACCTCTCAGGGTGGTCTTCCAGCGGGCCCTGCGGGATGGAGCTGAACTGGGGGAGGCTGCGGGCAGCACACCCAACACGGTCACCATGGAGATGCAGTGCCCCTCTGGGAACGCCTCCTGAGAGACCAGCACCTGGGAAGAGGCCGGGGCAGGAAGTGACCTGTGGCCTCCAGACATACTTTGCCAAGGGGCAAGAACAGGGCAGCTGCCTGGTGCCCATGGAGGAGGAGAAGGGCTATCTCCACTGCCCTCACTTTCTGTGCCTCACTCTCACTGGTCCGTAGGCTCTGGAGCTGGTTGAGAGGCTGAGCAGCCACCTATAATCAGACCCTGTAGCCCTGTGCTCCCCGCCTTTCTACTTTAGTGACCCCATTGTATCAAAATTGGCCCCAAGTGTGGTGGGGGTCCCTCCTCACCCAGGTTGGTCAAGGAGTCAACCCTCCTTGAAAGTAAGCCAGCCAGCACCGCTGCCATTGGTCAGCAGCCTCAGCCCTGCCAGCAGGGGGCGCTCCTGACGGTCCATCTTCCCAAGACCTCAGCTCAGCAAACCTGAGCGAGCTGGCATTATCTGGGAGGGGGTCCCATCAGCCTGTCTTGTGGCTGTCTCTCTGCCAACAAGTCACTGCTCCATGGATGAATCATTTGGTGACTTTAATAGGGGAAGGCCTGACCCTGGTAAGCCACTGGAGGCAAGAAGGACTTTCAGCCACCTTGGGGAGGTGGTTGCTTTTTCTGACTCTGGGCTGGGTCAACCCTGAGCAGCCTCCTGAGAACCGATGTGTCCTCCAGGCCACTGAGGACCTTCTGAGCAGCTCCTGGAAAGGGCCCCTAAAAGTTGGCTGTGGCTCTACCCCAGCCACCCAGGGACTGGCACCTCAGTGCCCATCAACAAAAGCACAGTGGCCTATATAGCCAAAAGAAGGTTTTTAGATTTTTTTCAAAAAGACAATAAAATGTATATCAATAAACATTTTATATGCTGCAGCCAGCCAGGCTCAATGCTGGCTGTCCTCTCTGTGGTCTCTGTCTCCCACAGTGAGTGTGGCCAAGGATAGCTGGAGTCCAAGGTGGGCAGCCCTTCCCTACCAACACCACCTGCTATCTTCCTCTCACTCTGGGGCCTCCTTCCCCGCTAACTCCTGTGATGTACTCCTTGTCCTCCTGGAGGGTTGTCCCCTCCTCTGCCAGGGGGACAATAGTCCCTAGGCTGGCCTCTGCAGGCCATGCCATTGAGATTTTGACTCTCCCAGGGCTCCCACCACCTAGGGAAACTTAACTCTCATCTACTTCATACACAGCCCTGTGTTGGTGGTACTGACCTTGCCTATAAGAGATACCAGGTCCCTACAGGACTTCCTGGAGTAGGTGGCTGGATCTCCACCTATTGTCCACCCCCCACCCACCCCCCCACCATCTCGAGCCCTTGGACAGGAACTGGACTTCCTACACCATCACAGGTTGGAAGCCCTCCCAGGCACTGGCCAGGGCCAAGGCTGGAGGGGTCCTAACTGCCCCCTGCTCTGCTCAGCTCAGCCCACCACAGAGGCCTGGTCTAGAACCCCAACACCTTGAGGGGAGGCTCTCAGAGGAAACTGCTCTCCCCGTGACCCCCAAGTAGAAACAAAGAAGAGGCCTTTGTGGCCTATCAGGAAGTATCCCTGACAGAGCTGCCCACCCTTCTCCAGGAAAACAGAGAAGGTACAAATGGTGCCTGCCTGTCTGTCACCTGTCACGGTGGCTGCACACCCTGAGCCTACTCTGCCTTACCCTGGATTATGCAGTCCCAGGGCAAGGCTGCAGCACTGTCCCTGGGGGGCCTGACCCCCAAGTCCATGTCCTGGATGGCCCAGCCCCCTGACTTGTCCTCCTGTCTACTCCTTTTTCCAACAGTCCCAGCTGGTCCTCCCAGAGAGGCCAGTGTTCTACAGGAAGAGGGGACCTCATGTGGTGTGACCAAGCAGGTGTCTCCAGGAGCCCCATGTGCTCACCTAAACTGCTCCCAGTGCCTCGATGAGCCTTGCCATCCTCCTGCCCCCCACTGCTGCTCAGAATTCCAGAGACAAGGTGTGGGTGTGGCAGGCTCCAACCTTGCAGCAGGGCCCAGAGGATAAACATGGGGGTAGGGCTGGGACCTATCTAGTGGCAAAAGCATCCACCGATTCAGGGCGCCTCTGCGGCTGAGCATCCACCTGGGGGGTTCCAGGCTCCAGTGAATCTGAGTTCCTAGAAAGTCACCTCCTTAGGAGCCTCCACCTCAGGCGCCAGCCCTGAACCCCTGTGGGAGCTGCACTCCCAGAAGAGCCCTCCCTGCCTGGGTCCAGCTGCAACCATTCACGCAGGGCTGGTGAGTGGGCAGGCAGGGAGGTCAGAAGGCCTGGGCTGACTGTGGGGAGGAACCTGCCCCTAGATGCCGAGACAGAGGGTGGGCTGAACTCCAGGGTCATCTCTCCAGGCTCTGAACCCCTCTCAGGCACAGATCACTGCAGTCAGACCAGGTGGCATAGCCCTCTGTCCCCCAGCTCCAGGCAGATATTCTGTCCCTCCCCAGAGCCCCCACTTTCCATGATAATGGAGATGAGCCGACTCAGAGCAGACACCACCTCAGCCACCACTTTCCTCCTCCCTCCTATGGTATTTAATTATTAAAGTGGGCTGCGGAGAAGCTGGAGCTGCAGAGGCCGTGAGTGTGTGCTGCTGCCCCTCCAGGAGCACAGTGGGGGTCCTGAGGTCCTCCCAAACCTCTTTTCTGGGCCTTTGGTAAAGGCAGGAAGCTGGGGGTCCCCCACACATCACGGATTTCTACCCTGCATCTCTGGAGCCAAGCCCTTCTCTGTGACACAGCTGAATAACACAGTCAAGTTTCGGGCTGAGCATCCTAAGTCCTATTAGGGAGCTGCTGGAAATGCTAAGGCTGACTTTCCGCCAGCTTGTGACAGGGAGAGGGGGTGGAGGAGGAGGTGGGGATCAGGGCAGCACGCTACGCTTTTCATATTTCCGGCCCATCCCTATCTCTCCAAAAACAAGCAAGAAGATACAAGATACACACTCTTTCAGATATAATATGAGGAAAAAGCAAGGTCAACTTTGGAATGTCAAGAGTACACCTCAGGGAACCAGAAAGGTGCCACTTACCAGCCATGGGACCTCAGCCTTCCCATGCCTCAGTTTCCCGAGGTCAGTTTCCTGGTCAGATGGTACTGACCAGACTGCACAGGGTTGATGTAAAGTGCCTTCAGCCAGCCAGGCACCAGTGGCTCATGCCTGTAATCCTAGCTAATTTGGGAAGCTGAGAGCGGAAGATCAAGGTTCAAGGCCAGTCAGGGGTAAATAGTTTGCAAAACCCCCATCCCCAAAATAACCAGAGCAAAATGGACTGGAGGTGTGGCTCGAGCCATAGAGCTCCTGCTTTGCAAGTGCCAAGTCCTGAATTCAAACCTCAGTCCCACCCCCCCACCCCAAAAAAGTACCTCCAGTCATGTACAGCCCTTACTGCTGGCCAGGCATCTGGGCAGACACTAGCTGGGTGGAGGGAGAGGAGCAGGGACACACTCACACACAGCTGGGCCCCAACACTGGTGATCAAGGCAGTGACTGCCATTTGCAGTGGACCTACTATGTGCAGTGGGCTTTTGGCTAAGAGTTTCCTGGAGGTATCTGTTTCAGTCTTCACAATGGACCTGAGGCGATGTACTCAGGTCCTACCAACAGGTAGCAGTTGTGGAAGTCAGAGCTCACAGATGGAGGCTGTCGTTCAAGATTGGTCACACTGGGTGGACAGCCCTGGCTGGAGCCCAAAGGCTCCCCACAGCACTGTCTTGTGGTTCTGGAAGCTCTGACCTTGGTGTGTCCCATCCATGAAGTGCTGGGAGCTGGACTCAGGGAGATGTCAGGAGTGGACTTGCCCAGCAGGACCCAGGACAGCCCAGGCGGGCCTGATTGGTTCCCACAGTATCCTGAGGCCAAAGGAGGAAAAGGCTCAGACTCAGACTGTCAGTGACAGAGCACGGTGAGAATGGGTGCGGGACTCTACAGCCAGCACATGGGGGGAGGACCAATGACTTTCTGTCATAGCCAAGGGTCACAGATGCCTCCCTCCATCCCAGATGCCCTGCTAGCTGTGGTTTTCAGATAACTTGGGTTTCATATTTTCAGAACTCCCCAGCCAAGTCGATTCCTCCTTCCCAGGAACAGTGGGCTCATCTAGAAGGTGGCATTGACAGGGGTCCAGTTTCTTACTGTTGCAGGGAGGCTGTGGACCTGGAAAATGTGCCCTCTGACATGGTAGTGACGAGGCCAGGAAGCCAGACAAACACTGCCTTGAGTGTCCTGAATCAGAAATGCTGGGAGCCACTGAGGACGAAATCATGAAGCCAGAAAGGGCTCGAAAGTTGGAGAGCCCATGACAGGGCACCGATAATGAAATTAAAGCCCACAGAAAACTCCACGTCGATGAGTCAGACTGCAGCTCACAGTTTCCTGGCAACCCACAGAGGGCTCACCTACTTAGGCGGATTTTGTTTTCCAGTCTTTATAGTTAATTTAATTGAAGCCTAATTGACATACAGTAAAACATACCCATTTAATGTATATCCAATGATCTTTGACAAATGTGTAGATACTCATGTGATCAACCAAATCGATACACAGGATGTTATCCCCAAAGGGAACAGTTCCAACAGCCCCCTCCCAAAGTTTCCTAGGGCCACTGGGCAGTCAGTCTGGCCCCCATCCTGCCATCGCCAGGGCGACCGTGTGTCTCTACTTTATACCGCTGCCATTAGTCTCTTTGGTGATCTGAACCCACATCAGCAGGGACTCTTGGTGGCATGTTACAGAATCACTTTTTGTAATGCACCTTGGGGTTGGGGGGATTTATTGACTCAATACCCAGAAAGTTCCCGAAGAGATTCCAGTTTCAGACACTGCTGCATCTGGGGTCTCAAAGGATGTCCTGTAGGGCCCTTTTCTTTCCTCTGTTTCTCCTGTCTGCTTCTGTCTGTGTAATGGATGGCAGGTCACCAGCAAGTCCAGTTTAGAGCCTACAAACTCAGCAAACACAGCAGAAGGGAGCAGCCCTGTCCTGATCGCCCCAGCAAAAGTCCTGCCAGTCACTGCTCACTGTCCAGGACTGGAACTAGAGGTGGGCCTGGGAGGAGAGTATGACACCGATGCCACCTGGCCTAGTGGACATAGATGGGGATGCCGTGAGTTCAAGGTAAAACCAAGTGTGGGCTGGCAGGCATGAAGGCAAATGGCACTCCATTCCTCCCCCAGGCCCAACTTGCACACATCCTCTTCTGCCTCACATGTTATTTTAAAATGTTCCCACCCCAAACCTGGAGTTG